TCAAACTCTTCTGTCTCAGACACATCCATCTATCAGCAGTCACTGGTTGCTTTAAGTTCTCTACATAGTAGCCTATGTTGTGAATTATTGGGGCTGCAGTCTGGCCATCTTTCTGGCAGTAAAGTATATCCCAGTTCTTCTTTCTTAGCTGTCCCGGTTGGCCTTTACACACTCCTGGGCAGAAAAGGCTACCATAGACTTCCCATTCAAACAAAGACCTGTCTGAAAATCCAGGACATTCATATGTATTGCCGAGCTCAAATCTTAACAAACTGCCTGTGATTCAGCCCTGACCCAATTTAAAAGTTACATATTAAAGTTAAAGTTAAAAATTGTAAGCGAGTTCTGTGGGTACGTGTGGACATGTGTGTGCATGAGCATCTCCTCTTCTGTTTACACCAATACACTGCCAAGGTTGTACCATGTCCCCAGGACAGAGAGAGATGTTGCTTTAATGCATAGAGAGTCCATTTAGCTGTATACATTGCTAGATCTGTTCTCTGTGAATTTAGTTTTAATCTTCGTTTTAAAAATAAACCACACCACCAAGATGTAAGACATCTTGGCCACCAGCCTCAGAATAATAATAGTAGTAGTAGTATTTATTTTGCAGTCACAGACCCAATAAAATACATTTAAAATTTCAAGAATGATTTAAAATAATAATAGGCATTTATGATTGGGTGAGATGGATTTAAGCTTATCCATCAAGGCAACCCATAACTTTCAAAAAATTCCTTGTCTGGTTGATGTCATTGGTAACCTTTCTGTATTTGCTCTTCTAATTCCTGCTGCAATGTCAGTTGTGTTCCCTTGATGACTTCCTTGCTGCGCGTGCTCTCTTGAATACACAATCAGAAACAGTTACATGGGACTTGATAAAATAAACCACAAACAGAATGTAAAGTGGGAGAAATTAGCCTTTTGATGAAAAGGGGAACGAAGCCCAAGTGGATGTCCTGCTCTTCTGTCAAAATATAAAATAAAAGTCAATGCTCTTGCATAATCTCTTCAATTTTCCAAACATCCTTCTTTTTCCCCCTGATTTTGAAAACATGTTCCATAACATCTGTTTTTCCCTTCGATCAATATGTTCCCTTAAGAGAACTAACTTGTAAAACATTATATAGAACATCAAACATGTATCTGAATTCAGTTAGTTATTTGGTAGGGTCAAATATTCTGTTAATTGAGGATACTTTTTTTTACTATCCAGTTATAGGTACTGGCTACACCCATCTTTGTTAAAACCAGCAAACAGCACTGGTGCTGCGTGAGTGTCGCTATTTACAGAAAAGAAGACCATTACTTTTAACTCATGGAGACTAGAAAGACTTAATTCTCCTGGTCTTTGTAGGATCTTCCAGAGATCTGCCAGTTTGGGAAAAGGCTCTAAGAGGTAGAGCAGCTGATTGGCTTTAAAAATATTCCAATATTCAGTTCCTGGTGTCTCCAACTGAGCAAGGTGAGATGTGATGGGACAGGAACATACAGCCACTGCCAGCCAGAAAATAGACCCTTCAACTCAGTAGAAGCAAGGTCATAGGAATGTGTGAAGCTGTCAGTCTGTTGATCCATCAAGCTCAGTATTATCAACTCCAACTGGTAGCAATGGATGTCTAGGGTTTCAAACAGGATCCTGGCCCTGCCAGGAGATCCTTGATGGTCTCCCAGCCAAGTACTAAGCATCCCCTGCTTAGGTGCCAAAATCAGACAAGAATGGGTGTGTTTTAGGTAGCCCAGAGGTTCATATGATCAATTGACATTTTCCCCTTAACTCTGAGGATGCAGTGTGTACAAATTAGAACAATGTGGATGCTGGCTCAAGTATCCAGCTGGGAGCCCCAGCTTCAGGTCACCAACTCAGTCTAGAAATTGGCTGATCAATCTTGGACCAGTCCTACTCTGTCAGCCTAATCTGCATTTCTCGAGTTGTAATCTGCACTAAATTCCTTAGAGGAGAAATAGGGTAGATAAGTAGTAAACAAAAAGTGATACTGAATAGCAGTTATGGTGGTGTTTACAAGAGGCGGTGCATACCTCAGATCAAGTATGTGGGCTCATAGGGCAACCTACATAACACACCCAGTGGGACTAGAGATGGCCACAAACTGCTGGTTTGTCAGCCAAAAAGGTGTTTGGGGGCACTTGGAGGCAGTGCTCAGAGGAGGCGAGGAAGGGAAGCTGGAGTAAGTGCTGCCTTTGCTGGAGGAGGTGGGGCTTTGAAGTGCCAGACTCCTGCTCAACTCATAAACAGACTGGAAGATCAGGCCCATCTCAAAGTGGGACCTTTTGATGGTCCCATGTTATGCTTCTAGTTGGCATAGAGCCATATATCTTACTTTTAATGATGCAAGCCACGTTGAGTCCTTTTAAGAAGAAAAGTGGGGCTAAAACATTTTAAATATATATAATAAATATGTGCATGGAGCCCACTGCTTACAAATTTGTATCTGTGCAACTGAAAAATCCAAAAACGGTGGTGCCTCGCTTAGCGACGTTAATCTGTTCCAGGAAAAATGTTGCTAAGCGATTTCATCGCTAAATGGAATAAAAAAGCCCATAGAAACACCTTAAAACGTGTTTAATGTGTTCCTATGGGCTTAAAAACTGACCTTATGCGAAGATCCTCCATAGGGGCGACCATTTTCGGTGCCTCTAAAGTGAGGCAAAACAGCGGGTGGCCATTTTGTTTTTCTGGTGGCCATTTTGGAACCGCCGATCAGCTGTGCAAAAAGTGTCGCTTTGCCATGATCGCTTCCCCGCGATCATGGCAAAGCGATTTTTCCCCATAGGGGCCATTACTAAGCGATTGCTCTGGCGATGGCCAAAACCCCATCGCTAAGCTATTTCATCACTCAATGGAGCGATCGCTAAGCGAGGCACCACTGTATGTGAACATACACAGAGAATATTTGATTTCTGGAACTTGGACATCTTTGCCCCTATGTATAAGTGACAGCCAACAATACAAAGAGCAGTGAAGAACAGATTCAGCCTGGGGTCTGTTTCTGACCATTAGCTGGGATTTATGAGATTTTAAATGTTGGCCTGCAGTTTATAGGTAGCCCGGACACATTTTATTATTGTTAATCCTAAATCTAGCCATTCTTGTAGTTGCAGTTTCCCCTAGAGATGGACAGGAATTAAAAAATGAATCTCCAAATTCATTTTTTTAAAAAAGCACTAATTCATCTATTCATATTCATACAAATCAATGTCCCCAACAAATATGAATCAATGAATGTTTAGCGATTTTTTGGTAGATTCATTTTGCTATAAAATGCCCCCCTAGGCACCTAGAGACTCCAACATTGCATGGAATCTTCCTCTGACTCTCCTCTATAATCTGTCCAGGTTTGGTGATGATTGACTTTCAGATGTCTAAGTTACACACCCTCAGGAAAGTTCCCCCTAGGCAGTTCCCCTCTAGAGAGTTCCCCTCTAGAGAGACACCAAAATCACAGAGAAGCTTCTCTTGACTCTCTTCTGTTATCCCTTGAAGTTTGGTGAAGATTGGGTTTCCTTATGCCAGCTACTAATGGGCACTTTCCTGGGGGGACTCATTTTGTGGATGTGTAACTGGGATATCTGAAACCCAATCCTCACCAAACATGGCGGGGTTGTAGAAGAGAGTCAGTAGAAGCTTCTCTGTGACTTTGTTGTCTCTAGGTACCTGGGGAAAGTTTCCTGGGGGCCCCTCGTGGGCATATAATTCAGATGTCTGAAACCCATACTTCACCAAACTTGCCTGGCTTGTAGAGGAGAGTCAGAGGAAGCATTCCCCACAAATGTGGTGTCTCTAGATGCTTCAGGGGCCATTTTATGAGGCTTTAAAGTCAATAATGAATTGACCAAATTGATACATTGATTCATCAGAAAAAAAATATAAATTCACAATCCATGATTCATCAGCCTTGACAAATCACAAATCGAAACAAATCACAATTTTTATGATTTTTACCCATCTCTAGTTTCCATTTGTCGTGTACAATGATGTCTGCAAATGATTTCTGTCAGAGGGTTCCCGCAGTAATCAGCAGAAAGGCATAGAGATGGAGAGCCTCAGCATCATGTCCAAGAGGTTCATAATTCAAACTCGAAAGCCAAGAGAGTTGCGGTCCTCGGATTGGCCACCGATAGCTGTTTTGTTCCATTACGTTGTTAGCCCTCCTTAGTTTACAAAGAATTGCTACATGGTCTCACCAGTGAAAACTTTCCAGCTGTTTGGGAAGCAAGGTCTTCAAAGGAACATGTGCTGCAGCAAAACGGGAGGAACCCAATGGCTTCCATTAGACTCTCTGCTCAGTAGCTGCACATCAGCACAGTAATCATTTTCAGATTTACAAGCATTAAATATTTTAATTTAATGCCTTGGCTCTCTTGTAATTCATGCACTTAATTATATGATAATTACTCAAATTAAAGAGATACAGCTGCTGCTGTATCAATTCTTCGAGGGAACTGAGATTTTATTTTTTTTTTAAAAAAATCAGTCTTTGATTTGTGGGTATTTATTTTTTTTCTTCGCATCTCCCAAAACAGGTGGAAACATCAAGCTAATTTTAAGATGTATATATATATATAAAAAAACAAAGACAGCTTTCAGGTGTAATTACTTCACCCTTCTCCCCACCTGCCCCATTTCTCACTGGAAAGCAGCAGAATAAGGTTTTTGGCAGCTAGGGAAACCGGGCACCGTACTGGCTGTTTTTATAGCTCCTTGTGGATTATGTTCATGAAAACACAGAAGCTTAGGCAGAGCTCTCTATGCCTGGAATCTTGTTTGTTTATATTCTTGGCTACAAGAAAAGGAAATGTTGGACCGGGTGGGTGGTTGTGTTTGCCGTGTCCCATCTAGTTATAAGCTCAGAAAGGATATCACATGCTTCTTGTTTAATATCGAAAAAGTCCCTTCATATTTGCGATTTTCTTACTCCAGATATACGTTCGTGTAGGAAGGAACGCTGAACTCATGTACAGATCCACAGGGCTGCCAGATCTAGAAATAAAAAATTCTGGTGCCTGGGTAAGGCTGTAGGGCAGAGCTCAGACTGGACCCAGGGAGCAGAGTCCAATTATTTCTGGCAGGTCTGGAGGCAGAGCCCAGAACAAAAGCAGTCTGTTCACCTGAGGTGCACAGCTTTTTCTTTTTTTTTTTAAAGAATGAGCTGAAGAAAGAAACAGCTGGGCTTTGAGAGACTGACCTTGCCCATTGCTTTTCTGGTAACTGGGCCAAAAGCCGACTCAACCACAACAAAACAGTCAAGCCATTCATTTTTTCGGTTACTTGGCAACCTTAGGATCCATGCACATGTATTTCGCAGTGAGTATTTATCTGTTCCTTTGCTTATCTTTAAAAAAGTTATACTCTACCTTTTTTTTTTTTTGTCAGTTGGTCTCCAAACCTGTTAGTGTTTGAAAACGATTGCTAAAGCTATGGAGAAGCTTCAGTAAATTCCTTAAACCAGTCATAAAACTCTCTACCACATTGCTGCTGGAGGAACTGGGCTGCCCCTCCATTGCTGCAAGAATTCGTTGGGACTTGATGAGGCTCCTCAGAAAAGGATCCCAGCCCTGATAAAGGTAGTGCATGCCAGTGGGTGGCCAATTCTAAGTTGGCCAGCTTCATGAAAGCCTTTTTCTCATGGGGTGTGTATGTAAATAATATGGGCAAATCAGCTGTGTTTGGGAAAGTCTTCTGCCACCCCATCAAAGGCTCCATCACTCATAGAGCATCTCTAACCAAACCTCTGAAATTGGGAGCATCCTGGTTGACAGTCTCTGCAGATGGACAAGTTTGTATAGGGAATGGTGTGGTGGAAGGGAGAGACCTGTGCTGTTTTGTGTGGTGGGGCAATACCTATTGAGGTTTGTATTCTCGAAGGCTTGCATGGCCGAGATCTGATGGTACAAGAATGCAATTACCCCAGAATTGTTGTTGTGGGTTTTTCGGGCTCTTTGACCGTGTTCTGTTTTGCCAGTCTCTGTGGCCGGCATCTTCAGAGGACTGGAGTAGGAACCAATGTTAAGGTTCTGTGTGAATGTGTGTAAGAGAGACAGGAAGCTTTTGGAGATGATTCTAATCTTTGAGGGGGGCATTAATTTTAGACAACTTTAGTGAGAGGCAGTGACGGCTTTAAGAGGGGATGCCTTTAATGATGCGTTCAACATATTTGTGTACTATGAGGCTATTGAAGGTTGCCATTCCTGAAGGCCATGCATTTCTTCCAATATCTGAGGTGATGCATCTTGCAATACTAGTTCCTGGGGAACACAAGTGGACAGATGCTGTTGAACTCATTCCTGAAAGCCGGTTGGCTTCTGGGGCAACAGAATGGGAGACTTGCTCCAACACGGCTTTATTATGTTCATGCATTCTTCAGGAAGTTCAGAGCAGTATACAAGATACAGCTTTCACGTCCTAATGACCTTCATAATGACCTTGTAAAGCATGATAGGCTAAGAAATAGAGACTGGCCCAAGGTTGTCTGTTGTGTTTCGGGATGCCAGCTATACATATATTGCTGGATAAAATACAGTTTAGTCTTCAGATTCTGTAATGGACAGTTGATCTCCTGAACTCATGGCAACTCCAAACTCTTCAAAAGACTCCCATCTTTTCTCTCTCTCCCTCTCTCTTTTTTTTTTTCCCCTTCTCATTTCCTCCTTCTCTGTGCCGGAGGCTGTTAGCTCTAGTTTCTCCTTTAACTCTTCAGTCCTCTGTGACCGAATGTCTGAATTGCTGCCTTAGCATGAGGTTCGCCACCAAAAGGGTTACAAAAATTTTTTAAACCCCTGTATGCAGACAATTTTCAGTTAGCTTACAGCAGCTGCAGTGTCGTGCTGATAGATTAAAAGCAGATCCCAACCCTAGAATGAAGTATATTCAGGCTCCCGCAGAGCTAAGCTGGGGTGAGGCCTCCACAGCTGTCACTTAGGCCAAGTTTCCAACTGAACTCCCAAGGAAAAGGCTGCAACTTTTTGCAGCAAAGTTAGATGTTTCTAAAGAAGGGAGACCAATTAGGAACAAAATAGGGATGCTTCCCACTTAAAGGAACTGATTATATTTTTGTAATGAGAAGGAATTACTTTCAGCTGCCTCTTCCTCCTTCCCAGCAGTCCATAATACCTCCTTATGTTTTTTTTTTAAATTTATTTTAACACTGAGCAGAAGAAAGTGTGCATTCAAGAAAGAAACAAGTCACTCTTGAGTTGCATCTCACACATTTCTGGAAACTGGGCGCAAAAAAAAAATGCAAACAGGGTGGTTTGTTGTAGATTTTCTTCAGTGTGGGCCACACTGAAATATTGTGGTGGCCATTTTGGTGGGCTAAAAAAAGGAAATAATATCCACGCTGTATGGTGGCTGAGTAATAGATGTCGGTGGTAAGTAGACAAGGATGATGGGGAAATGAGGGAAATTGGAAGTGATATTCTGAGGGTGAGGCCAGTGGGAACATAAAGGAAGACCAGAAGCTAGCTTCTCCCCAGAATATGTTAAAATCTAGGCAGCAAGGTTGCCAGCTGGCCAACAAACAAAAAACCATCCAGCCAGTCAGACTCTTTAAGAACATCCAGATATTTAGAAATCCAAAGACAGAGTTTTCCCAGGCACTGAGATCTGATGCTTGTCACTAAAGAAAGGTCAAAGTGCCATTAAAACACCAGCCGATAGGAAAAGCTGTTTTGTGGGAGAAGGACTGGCAAACATCATAAGGTGTTGGCATAGTAGCAACAGGGCGTTCAACTCCACTGCAGCTACTAAATCCGTGGCCAATAGAGTCATATATTAAAGCAGGAGTCTGCAACCTGGTTCTCTCCAAAAATGTTGAACGACAACTCCCATAGTAGCTTGAAAGTGATTTGTTTGGATTCTTGGAAACTCAGCTGTTGGCATAGTGGTGAGAAGCCAGGGCTTGAGTTTAGTGTCTGGAAATGTAAGTGTACTTAATGGAGCTGGATAACTTAGTGCGCTGGAACACCGGGATGAGGAGCTAGGAGGTGGAGGTTTAATTTCTTCTTGCACATTGTTGTAGAAGAGACAGCCTCTATGGTCTTGCACTGGCTTCATGGCACCCCTGAAGCAAAGGAGTCGTCAACTACTATACACAGAAAACTTTGGAAGGGGTTACCAGTAAGTTGAAAATAACCTGACAGAATGAAATTATTATAATGTAGCTTTTTAAAAAATTGACTAGTTCATGTTTTTTCATCCATTCCCTGTTTCTCTTAATGCTCAATCTGATAAAAGCTTATGGGAAACTTGAAAGCTCATCTCTTTAATGAGGGTGCTTTGGGTTGTCCAGGAAAGGCATTACCATCCCTAATTTAAAATATATATATACAGTATTTACGGATTCATATCCTGTTGCTGTCGAACAAAGATGCTGGTCTTTTCACTTCATTTAGTAATGAAAAATCTTGCTGAGGTTCCCCCGCCTTTTTTCTTCTTCTCTCTGATATGTTAAGACACTCTTTCTTCATTGGTGGATGAGAAAATTTATAAACATGCATTGACATCCTTTATTCCCAGCTTGGGAGACCATCCTGTTTCACCTGCCCACCATGTAGCAGTTAAAGATGAGAAACCTATCAGAAGAAAAACAGTGCCAATTCACGATTGAACAAAGAAAGATTCAAAGCCAGAGTTTCAACAGCTGAGTCCTGAAAGATTTGCTTTCATATATATTTACATGGTGTTTAAAAAAGAAAGAAAGAAAAACTAACATTTTTTACCTTCAGATTCATGACAAAATGTGAGGATTCTGAAAATGAGATTATGGCTGTTTTAAAGCATTAATTCTATAGGACACCAGTTCGGGGAAGACAGCTGCACAGTCTTCTCTTAGCAGGAGAACTGTGTGAGATCAAAGAAGCTAGTATAGACTAGGAGTTTGGGCCATGGAACCATGGGAGGGAGGAAGCCTAAAAATGGCAGAAAGATAAATTCTGGGTAATTTAATATTTACGTATTTTAAGATTTAGAATCTCAAGTTCACTTTTTACCGTGTGTTTTGCCTTCTCTCATGTTTCACCAGTTGGGAAAACACCTCAGGTTGATTCTGAGACATGTGTACTCATATCAGTGAGTGGATAATTCCGCGATGACATTTCGCCATGCGGTTTGGTAGAGTAAATCAATCCATCTGCATGATACTGATTTAGCCATTTTGCCAAGCATTTTCTAAGCGATGACATGTCATTATGCGGTTTGGTAGAGTCAATCAATCCATCTGCATGATTTAGCCATTTTGCCAAGCATTTTCTACAGATGCACTAGATAAAACTGGCCTTGGTTTGGCCATATGGGTACCTTTGTGACGGCTGAGCTAGGGTGGAGTCATTATCATAACAGCATTGTGTGTGGTTTTGGCACAAAAATTGAACCACGATCTTGCAAAGACAGCGCTTTCTTTGATTGCAAAATTAAATGATACGTACTACAATTTCTACACAATGTACCTGAAATTAAGAACCGTGTGAGAAGCTTCAGCTGTTCTGCGCTAGTTTAGAAAAGAAGGCAAAGGAGAAATGAAATAAAAACAAACATTCCTTGTTTTTGATAATACCTGTTAGACTGCAAAAAAGTTTTTTTAAAACAACAACAACAACAACAATGTGTTTAGTATATTTTTCTTTCTTCTTCTAAACTCTGGCTGGTCACTGCAATGGGTGATGTTTCATGTTGTTGGCACTGTCGAACAGACGGTGGAATTGTCATTCCAGAACTTGAGTTCGTGTTTGGTATATTTTCCTTTCTTTTTCTAAACTCTGGCTGGTCACTGCAATGAGTGATGTTTCATGTCGTTGGCACTATCGAACAGATGGTGGAATTGTCATTCCAGAACTTGAGTTCCAAATTTCTGGACAACAATATCAAGAAAACACAGGCATGTACCGAATGGCAACATTGTGAGCAGCAATTTTTTAAACAAATAAAAACATGTCTGGACACACCATGTCTCTCCAGATATCTCCGTGGTGAATGTTTCTGCCACTGCTCAAATGCAACAATTTCCCTTTTGTATGGCTGATTTTTTGTTGTTTGCTTTAAATTGACATTTTTTATGATGGTTTCTATTAGCTGGCTTAGCTTTTTCTTTCTTTCTTTTCTAAATACAGCCTAGATTTGCCTCACTTCTTCTCAAGCTATTGTTCTTTCTTTACCTTAAAAAAAATGGCGTTTGCACACTGGGGAATTTCAGCAGTTGGAATATACATGAAAAGAGGCCCGCTTTACTTTCATACGGTCCCTGGATGAATTGGACAAAACCTCAAGGCCCCATGGAGGAGCCCGAGCTGCATTCGTATTCCTTGCCCATC